CACCTAAAAGACCCTCAGAGATCGAGATACTTTTCGACTATCCCATATTATGAGTTCCTGCAGGGCCACCCAGCCGTATCGGAAGCTAACACCTACGTCGTCTCAAGAAAGGATGTCGCTTGCCATGGCAGAGGGTAGCGTTTGCATCAGCGCTTATAAGCTGGACTTATTTAACTCGGAGGTAGGCAATCTATAGGTCGGCCATCAGCACAGAATAACGGCCGTTTACTCGAGCTTCTTGAGGCGCAGCCGAACGTAACCACCAGTACTTTGACAACCTCTCTGGGCTGCACCTAACTACTGCCATGCTTCTACGCTCCGCCATCTCGGTTATAGGGAAAATTTTTGTGGAGTACGCTTCATGAGCATCAGTCTGACAAGTTATACCGAATGACCGTGACTGAGTTTTCGTTTGCTTGTACACACTGGAAGAATATTTGTGAGGTCTTGTGGCAGGTGGTGAAGTCCTTGCGTACACTATGCTGTCCCTCGCAGGTCTCTCAAACGGAATAGTAGATTGCTTAGCCAAAAGCAGATGTGCACGGGGTAAAGATCTCAGTGCGTTATTGGTGGGACTTCACAGCGGTATCGTTGGATACTAGCGCAGATGACAGGAACACATCCCACTCTAATCAACTTCAAAACGTGGATGACGTCACGCTTGAATTCATTCAGAAATACTCAATTTTCTCTACTACTCGGCAATGCGAAGACCGCATGTAGAGATCAGGCCACCAAAAGATCATGGATCTTGATCAGAGAACGCGACCGTACCCAGGTTATTTATCAAGGTTAGCAGCCTCTAATCACCACCTCCTTTGTTCCCTACCACATCCTTTACGAAGCAAAATCTCCGAAAATCGACGTCTACTCGCAAATGAGGTCCATCTCTTCTTTGTATCATAGTTGCGGTAGTTCTGTGAGAATGAAAGTGAGAAGCTGTGCAAAAGATGGGCGCTAGTCCTAGTCATCAACTACGGTCACCTTGTAGATTGGAGGTGTCTTCTAGCTAAGACATCAAATCTCAATGTGACCGTCGTGAAATCGGTCAAAAAAACCTGAGTCCGAAAATTTAGTCAAAGTGTCGCAGGACTTTCCGTCCAACGCAATAATTCCGTTTTAAACGTTATTCAAAGCAGTTTTGCATACTTGCTGAAGTCGAAATATTCATTCTGGGAACAAGTTAGCCCAATTTTAGCTTCTAGCAGGGTCGGACTTCAATCTGTGAACTTAGAACAGCTATTCACTCCCTTTTGTCCGAAATCGATCCCCATATGACGGAGGACTCCTACCATCCAGTGTCCAAGTCTTCAGGATTGCATGTGTAGAGCATGACGAAGCAGTAACTAAGGAGCCAAACGCCAGATTTCTGATGACTTCTTATAACAAACACGCTCTAAAAATATGAGTGAACTTGGACATTGACTACCTAAACCGCACAACTGACTAGATGAAGGAACGATGAGGCGTGTATAAAAAGTAAAGACAGGAATTTCCTATGATTATAAAATGTCTGGTTCATATTCTCACACAACTAATCTTCCTTTAAAAGCGCATAAGCAAAAATCTGGGTCAGCGTTTTTATGTAGCACGTAATTTTTCTTAGTACGCCACCTTCATTTTAAATTCACTACTTTTCACACCAAATTCACCGCTTTTCAAACCCAGTATCACCTCTCAAATCGAATCCACAACGCTTTTCACAACGGACAGTTGATTAATCAGATCGCGCTGGATACCACCGCAAGCCTAGCCCTAAAAGCTGTGCATCTTTTCAGCGCGGTCCTAATTTTTCAATTCTATCTTGTGAATTCTAATTCTGGGACTTTTTTACTCATTTGTTACCGCACATAGACACACTAGCTAAAAAGGACTGACATCCCGACGAACAGACGGTTCCACCCATTTTTTTGCCCATAGGCGCACGTTAATGCATTGAAAACTAGGCTCTGCCCTTTGAGCCACGCCCACTTTTGCGTCCTTCTGCGAAATCATAGTTCCTTTTTTCAGAATTTTCCCTTTTGGGCCGCTGCGGGTAACCTCGTCGGTCATGAGAAGTTCTGCCCACTTCGAACAAGCGCCAACTTTTTTTTCAAAAGTGATCAAACCGGTACACTAAAGTTTCGGTCATGCCAGACTCTTCGCCGTAGCCCGAGAAAAAAGCAGGTAAGTTTGTTCCGAAAAACCTTGCCTGCCGATCGGCATCATTTTTCAAAAGTGGACGAAGCCCATCCAAAGTGGGCGGAGTTTTCCATGATAGCGGGACCACCCGTGGCAGCCCAAAATGAGAAAACTTTGAAGAAGGATGAAAAGTTTGCAAAAAGACGCAAAAGTGCGCGCGGTTAGTGGCTGAGCTTGATGCGTCAGCGGATAAATGCACTTCTGTAAGCACCTTGGTTATGTAAAGGGTTGATGTGGAAAATCGGAATACGCTACAAACTCTTGAAAAAACAGGCGGATTCCCTGTCTGTCGGGGTGTCAGACTTCCCAGTTAGTGTATATGAGCGAAATAGTAAAATCAGAAATACGCCGCTGAAGTAGAAGTATATATTAGAATTCGAATTATGACAGCGCTGAAAAAAAAGGTGGGTTGTCAGGGCGGGGTTGCGGTACAGCGCGATCAGGTTAATTACCTCTCCGATGTAGAACGGGTTTGAAAGCCTCACCGCACACGTGGCGCGCTTACTTCCGATAACGGCGATAACGCCGCGTAAAGGAAACAAAAGTTAGCGCAGACCTAAGGCAATGAAAATTTCAGTACTTCGCCGGTAAATGCTAAACAACAGTAAGACAAAGGTAAAAACAAGAGGTTGCGAGTGATCACGGATTCACAGCACCACGGCGTGGAAGGCGGCTGGTAAGTGTATTCCAAGAATAGATGGGACATTTCCCATATGCTAGCTCCACTTTGATTACCGATTGTATTTGCCACTGCGCGCCCCGGCGCTACCAACTGGAGGCCACTATGGACTTATGAAGAGTTCTTCCACCAAATCGCGGCGATGGCCGCGACTGTCACTAGCCAGTCCTTTGCCTTTGTCCTTCGGAGTAATAATGATACATATTCTACTTTTCCCTCAATACATTCAACGACTTATGAACATATGCACCACTACTATCTATAACATACTGCCATTTATCAGGTAGTTTGTAGCGTCCGCTCTGTAGAATTCCTGGGGTTCTGGCTCTACAATGAAAGAAAGGAATGATAGTCTGTTTAGGCTAGGTCTCCTTCGTGACGTGTCGAGACACATTGCCGTGAGGGGAAAAAATCCTTCTTGGCCTTCTACGACGAGCTGCTCACTATCCAACTTCCGACATTATATCGCTAGTGACAGTAGTCTTTCCAGCTAGCAGCTCCCAGTGAGTGACTCCTCTGCAGTTCCACCAGACTTTGAGCATCAGCTTCCCTGTGAAAACCCGGTTTTCACGCATGAATCCCAGGTTCGCCGTCACTGAGCCATAGGCGCTTTCAAGTATGGTTAGTGCAGACTAACGCTTCTGATCGCTGTTGACCAAGTTGCCGAGTCAAGCAAAATTCTGCTCAAAATTTAAGAAGTTCATATGTGCACCGCTCCACCTGTAGCTGGTGGCGGCCAAGATTGTGCTTATTCACGCCATATCGTCATGGCCAGCTACAAAAATTTGGTTGAATGTCAAATGAACGGAGGGAAACCTCAAAAACCATCCAGGGTCAACCGCAGTAGGATCACAGGAACATCAGACGAACCGCATTCACGTAAGCAGGATTAGCTGCGGAGGAAGTTGAGCGCGATCACTTCCACCTGCCAACAAAGTTCATACAAAGTTATAAGTACAAAATGCCGCGAGAGTATAGGATGCCCATATGTTCCACATTCAACCACCTGAGGGGCATTTCACTCCGATGAGAGATAACCGGTTCTTGAAGCCCTGGAGAAACGGGATACATCCAAATTCTCAATATATGGGTAATCCATGAGCTCTATTTCAATCTCGCACGGGTTTTGAAGCTTCCACGGGAAGACTCCGTCTTCACAACAGCACTAACAAGGGAGCTCGTTCAAGGCGTGCCACGCTCTTTAAAACGCTTTTTTGCATTCTGCTGCATACAAGTGGATCAGAAAAAGGGGTTAATTGTCGGAGCCGCCCCGGGGGTCGCAAAAAAAAGGAGCAAGAAAGAAATTTATGTGAACTGCGTTTTGTGGCTTCATGTATTGTGAAACACTTCCAACCTTCGGCTAGTTGCTGAGCGGTGGGTCCTTTCATAGAGACTATTGAAATTGGAGTGAGAGATAGACTATGAGGTCTTACTTGTATCATGTGCTTGAGAGTGAATGGTTTCTTAGACCTGTTACATCAACGTTTGGGGCTGCATGCATCAGCATGGATCGGTTGGCTTTGTGGATAACATTTCTCGTTCGGACAGCGATGGTGGGGTTGGTGGTTCGGTTCCCTGCAGACCGCAATTTTCGCATTCTTTAGTGATGCTTTCCTACTGTCCTTTCATGTCCGTGCCATATATATCTCGGATAATTGGCAGTCATGGCATTGAACAGGTGATATTCCACGAGAAAGTGCTGTTGAACTATTGCAATTTTTACGTACAATAAAGCAAGATTTTCGCTGGAAGTATCCTTACAGGCTACGATCCGACTCAACTACAGCAGCACAGTCTGCAGCTGTTCAATGCCCGCAACTGGGCGTGATAATAAGGAAGGTCAAAATTACTTATAAGATTGTCTGACACTACCACTCTTGGAATCATCCAGAAGAGCTCCGCACATATTTGTTCGAAGAGACCGTCTCGAAGATTCCAATGTATCTGAATTCGAAGTCGACGACCTATCAAAACGTGGAAACGTTACAGTAGCGGCCGCACTGTCGCGCCAATGTAATAGTTGAAACCTGCTTGTTTCTTTCAGCATTACCGAACTTGTCTAGCACGCTCGATTAATGTGTAGAAGTGATCCACGAGGTCTCAGAAAGTGAACCGCGTTGTGCGAGGATTCAAGGGTAACTCACAGCTTCTCTATGTGGGACCAAATTTGTTCCATACGATAGTAATTCATTCGGAATTTTGCAGGATGACGATGATCTATCAGATCTTCTACATAATATTCCCGGTGTTCGTCTCGGAGTGTACACCTGGAAAACAGAGATCTGTGGTATTTGTGTACCTGGAGTGAAAATCAAAAATACCTCTCATGTATCATTCTGTCCGCAATAGTATAACAACATTTTTCTTTGCCAACATTTACCGCCAATCCTCTCCAATACGGAGAAACTCCCTTAATATTGTTCTTACTTGTCCTGACTTGTTAAAGAAAGCACAGGAGGTCACAAAGGCAATGGCACCTGCATGTGTTGGTTCATTTCGCACTCATTTGGGCAGCTAATGATACTTCCACATAGATCGCCAAAATCGAGCTTCCTATCCGGCGCCAATTTACTTGGAGGCAACGTCATTCTAACGCGTAAGCTACGAACCTCCGCTTCACAAGGCATGGTTCCGAAATCGCAGTTCTCTAAAGAAACTATCAGATTTAGGCTCATTATGTAAACTATTCATGAAAGTAGGCAACAGTCTGAGGCAACTGCTGACAAGCCTGCTGGAGTTTTTTCCCGGGTAATTCCTGAGGCTTCGAGGGATTTTGATCAAGGATTGAGCAAAGAGGTTTAAGAAAATGCAGTAAACAGCACATCCGCATTTGGAATACTACCGGTGGAATGGAACATCGCGCATGACATCTCACAGTGCGGGATGAGTATTTTCTGGGATTTGAAACATAGGAACATGTTCTGGTGAGGAACTAGGCTTCTGTACTGCTGTTGCCGATGACTCCGCAAATCATGAGAGATGAGTTGTGGACTTTCCACAGTAGCAAAAAAAAAGTTGGAACGAGCTAAAGTCGTGTGCTTAGGAGAGGTTTGTCAAAATATGAAACATGGACTGTACACTCAGCTCCTAGGATTCTAGTCCTTGCCGTATGTGGAGTCAATGGTTCACAGCTGCAGTACCGCGTCACGTTCTCGCTCAAAAAGAGGGTACGGGACTGGAGGGCGTTGATACCCGCGTGCCGTCTCCTTAAAGACACATGGTACGCTCAAACACATTAAGGGTGTATGAAACTAACAGCCCCCCAGCTGTCGAGCGTGTCCGTGGTTTCCTCGCGCCCGAAACTGCACGGGGGTCCTAGTACGGGACCGTGGGAAAGGCTTATTCCTTGCTACACCGCCCAAAATTCACCGCGCGCAAGTTGCATTTTGGGCGGTGTAGCAAGGAATAAGCCTTTCCCACGGTCCCGTACTCGGACCCTTGTGCAGTTTCAGGCGGGGAAACCACGACACATCGACAGCTGGGGGGTTGTTAGTTTCATACACCCTCAATGTGTTTGAGCGTACCATGTGTCTTTAAATCGTCCGTGCTGTCGCACGGTCAGCCACATGCCTAACCAAATTCGCTACTTGTCTGAAATCTCCCACCTCTGGTTGTTCCCTGGCGTCGGTTACGTATTTGCGGTACCTCGGTTTCGACGCAAATGTTGCTCTTTGAAAACAGCAGCACAAGAGGAGCATGGAGACAGCATTCGGGTGCCGCTATCCCACACAGATTCTTTTTTTGAGCGGAGGAAGTGGCTGCAGACCCACCTGTATCGCAAATGGCAAGGACCGTTCTCGGGGGGTAAGTGTCCAGCTTGTCTTCAAACTGCACCTGAATATTTTGCTTTCTCAGGAAAGTAAGCCTGAAACAATCTGTTTCAGAGACAGAGTTGACTAAACTCGTTCGCGGGACAGCATGGTGAAGCATATCGCGGCAAAGGCGGCGCTACCACGTCGCCATTCAAAGTTTGCGAGACTATAGGAAGAACAGATGGCGTATGTGATGCGTAATAAAGGAAGCAGGGAGAACACGGTTCATGGGTTGGGAATTTCGAACAAGTCCGTAGGACCCCACCCCTTCCGTCCTGAAAGGGAGCTCGGTTGGACTCCCCCCCCCTTTCTACGGCTTTTGGGTTTTTCGTCTTTTGTTTGCATTTTCCCCAAGTAATACATGGAAGAAAAACAAAGCTGAGCTAAGGATTTTCCGTGGCTTGATAGCACCTTCCAGCACCGAAAACGTCCAACTAAAGAAAGTGTGTATGAATAAAACTCGAAACACTCAATAGGTTCACATAACAGATTCCGTCATGTTTCCACGCCCTTGACGGGCGTGGCCCGATATTACTGTGTCGCAGGAAGCTGGCGCAAGGTAACTAGAGTGACAGCAAAGCAGTGACAGCGGTAGTGAGTGCTCACCAGGACATCGTCCACCCTTGACCGTCCTCTGCTATCGGGCAAATTTTCTTCCCCCTTTTCCCTTTGATGTTGCTATAAGTAAGTATAGCCTGAACTTTCTTTGTATTCAGTACCGTTACACACCTTCAGGCCTCGCGAACCTGTAATCTGATAAGTAAAACTGCCTACAGTATTTACAAGAGGAGTTTAGCTTAGATGAAAGATGTTGCAGTTAATATGTTACTTAAGTTTCCATGGAAAGTCATGCGGCCCAGATTTCAAAAAAATGGAAATGACGGAATGTACAACGAAAATTCATTATCTCCTATCAATGATGTGTTAACTGAGCTATTAGGTTGGGAAGAAAGTCCCGCGACACTTTGATTAAATTGTTCTAGGAAAAAACCAAAGATTATTTTAAATGTTTTCACCGCTGATTAGTGAAGAGAGCCTCCTGAAATTTTTGCGAGCGGGCATATTACGGCTTTGTGTAAGTTTTCAAAGCTTGAGATTCCCCAAAGGTCAAGGTACTTATCATCCTATCCTATAGTATGAGTTCCTGGGGGGTCGCCCCGCCGTAGTCGTGGCAGCTAACGCTTGGTTGTCTCCAAAAAAAAATAGGAAATATGTCGCTTGCCATGGCAGAGTGTCCTGTTTGTAGCAGCGTTCGCGAGCCAGAATTATTTAATTCGAAATTGGGCAACGTATAGGTTGGCCACCTGCACAGAATGACGACGGTTTACTTATACCCCAGTTATCCAGTAAATGGCAGCGCATGCTAGATGTTGACCGTGCTTGCTCGACTTGAATTGCTACTGTTTTTTGCTGTTAGCGAATTTCGTCAAAAAATCTTCAGAAACTAGAGAAACCTAGAAAACATACCGCGATAGCGCTGTGTTTCCCAACAATCATTGGGATTGTATAGGAAATGAAGATGCTTGAAAGTTCTCAAAACGCTTTCTTCGAACTTGATTTGTTCGCCCAAATGCCTGATCATATGGTCCATTCTGCACGATAGTTCGCTGCAATTGAGGAAATAAGACAAATCGTACACTCACTTCCAGGAACAGTCCTCGCCATGCGCGAGGCGAATGGGTATGCAGCTGCCGCAGCATGCCACATTCTCCGCTGAGAAGTCATGGAAACGGGGCTGTAGGGTGGCGGTACTCGAATTAGGGCACATCATTAGTTGGGGGTTTTGGTCGAGTCCGCACGACCCTCCCCCTTAAGAGGACTGGTACAATCCCCCCCCCACCGGGTTTCCTCCTCTCCTCCTCATCGAGGTGTACGGAGGGCGGAGTATATACAGGGGGGGGGGCCAAAAAAAGTCATTTTGCCTCCATGACTTTCAAGGCGCTATAAGTCACACTTTACTAAATTTTTATCGGACAATTTTACTACCATATTAAAGAGCACATTAAATACTATAATGATACTCCGCCACAGCCTTCTGGAGGAGCGCCATCGAGAGATTCTGACACGCAACCGCGATGTGGTCCCTGATATCAGCGAGATGGTCGATTTCTCCGCCACCGTAGACCACCCTATTGAACTCCGCTCAAACCGGGTATTGAGGGGATTCAGGTCAGGTGACCTACTTAAATATTCCATTCTCCTTTAGGTACTCAGCCGCCCTTCCATTCCAGTAGGCGAGAGTTTCTCCAACGCCCTTCGATTCCACGTGGTGGCACCCAATGCTGTAGCAGTACAAAGTTTCCAAGAAGATACTGGCGACAGAAATGAAGATGGGATATTCTCCTCGAGTTGCTCGATGTAGCCACCAGCGCACACCCTCAGTCTGGGGCCTACGAAGAAATATCGGTTCATCCATTCCAGGTACGGCCGGTCCACACCATCAACCCGCGCCTTGGTGAATGGCGTGAAGATGATGTCCTGGACCGTAGCGACGTTGCCGGAGCTGCTCGATGTTTGAGGTCTCGCAGATCAAGAGTACTGGTCTCCAGGTAGCTATCCATGGGTGATTCCATTCAGAAGTTCAGCAGCTGTTTGGAGGCCACGTGAATTCCAAAGGCGTTCTCCCACTCAGGTCGCGACTGGAGATGACTTCATATTTGGGTGTACATGAAGGTGAATGGCGGCAGCCGGTCGTGCTTATAGAGGAAGATCTTGGGTATCTTCCGCCTTGGTACTCATATCCACTTCCTCTGTATGGGCTGCGAAAACATCGCTCATTTGTGACTCGGCCAGAATGACTTTTTTTTGCCCCCCCCCCCCTGTACATATAGGTTGTCGCATAAATTCTTATACACGTGTTTGATCCTCTCCTATTTCGTTCGCAATGGATGTTGGTATTACGTCATCACGTGTGCGCGTGACGTGTACATTATACTCTTTCATTACACCTAGCTATGCACGTCACCGAGTTGCGTTTCCAGTACACAATGTTGCACCATTTGCAGTGTGACAAAACGTACCGCGCCACTGTTTGGTTTTGCTCCACGATTTCGGCTGGAATGCAAAGGAAGCGCATACCAAGCTGGTAGATACATACGGTGAGGACGTCATCTCTTACATGACATGCAAACTGGTTCGCCAATTTCAAGAAAGGAGACTTTTCTCTCAAAGATGCTCCCAGGTCGGGTCGGCCGATGGAGTTGGATTTGGAAGTACTACGTAGTACCGTGGAGGGGAACCCGTATCTCACCACCAGAGAAATGGCGACCATGCTTAGCTATGATCATTCGACGGTTGCACGTGGACTAGAAAAGCTCGGCAAGGTAGCAAAGATTGGTCGATGGGTCTCACATGAAGTGTCCGCTTATGACCTCTCGAGGAGGGTGACCACCTGCACTTCTCTCCTCACTTTCCAAAACAGGCTTCACTTTCTCAACTCGATGATCACTGGAGATGAGAAGTGCGTCCTCCACGATAACCCTGTGAGGAAGCGGCAGTGGGTCGACAAAGGAGAACAGCCAGAAGCCACCCCAAAGGCCGACCTTCACCCCAAAAAGGTTCTCCTGTCCTGTTGGTGGTCCAGAAGAGGCATGGAGTACCGGGAGCTGCTGGAGAAGGGACAGACGATTGACGCTTCCACATACGTGAACCAGCAGCGGAAATTGAAAGATCATGTCGACCGTACTCGTGGAAGGAATGCGGAAATCTACTTCCACCATGACAACGCCCGACCTCACACTGCAAAGGCGACCCAGGCCGAGCTGGAGAAGTATGGATGGCTGATGGTCGCCCACCCTCCTTACAGCCCTGACCTC